TCCATGAGGAATTTGAATGGGATTGAGCCATGCACATGTGCAGTATGTACGTGAGACCTAGTGGTTGGTGGGGGAAGTTTGAACTGCCCAACCAATTATGTTTTCATGGATTGATTCAATCTTCCTATGAATCTCTCTCCTCTGATGTGAATTGGGAATTGGAGCTTTTTTAACATTTGATTTTTTTGGGGTACTCCTGTTGGTATGTGTGTGGTTCTCCCATGACAAGATTTCCAGCTAGCGAGTGTTGCTCCCTGCATTAACTTCTAAACTGTGCGGACTGAAAGGGCATATTTGCTGGTGTAGTCTTTTTTTATAGGTTTTATAAACCACTTGAGCCTATATCAGCCTTTTAATGTTTGACCTCTGTTTTGGAGCTTTCTGTAATGTGTTGGTTTAGATAAGGATTCTATTTTTGTTTTGTTTTTTTTGTTTTTTTTAAGCTTCTCCGATAACTCAGCTAATTGGCTTCATGATGGCAGCTCCTATTCTGTTGAAAAACCAAATTTGATTTGGAATTAATCCTCCCCACAAGTGTTTGAGGTAAACACAAACTGGTGCCAAATACAGATCTTTCAGGAATGATTGTTAATTATGTATAGAGGCGCAGTCCTAGGTACTGTAGCAAAGACTTTAAACGAAAAATAAAGCTTTGGTTTGCCAGTTTGACCAATTTGACCCGCGTTTCGCGTTTTATACTGCCCTTCCTGTGCTGCTATCGGAAGAGTATTCTGGGCTGCTGGCCTTTTATCTTTATTTCTGTAACTTTGTTTTAAGTAATTCTGTTTGTTTCAGCGGAAATAATCCCAGGTAAGTATAGATCTTCTGCTTAAATACTTTTATCCCCACTATGTTAGACTGAAAACATCCAAACGTGAAAGCTCTGAAGGGCTGTGTACATACTTGATTCTTGAAGTGTTCTGGGGCCTCACAGCAGCTTTTTTTCCCTTCTTCAAGTTGGTGTCATTTCTGTTCACACTATGTGGTACCTTGAAGGGCATGACCTGTATGTAAATTAATATTTTTGTATTGAATGAGCAAGAATAATATTGCCTAACATCCTAAGCCTCTACAGCGGGTCAAGGACTGCAATTTGAAGCTAGTGTCAATCTTGCTAATTGTGCTACAGATGTTGCTGATCAGTAACACAGGTAACGATTTGTCTCCTATTGGTACTGAACTAGAGACTCCTGTTTCTGCCAACTGCTGCTTTTTGGTGCACCTATCATTTAAATCTCAATTGATGCTTGAATGTATCCTAACTGATGAATACCTAGTGTCAATGCCTTGATTTCTTGGTAGAGTTTTATCACTGCCTAAAACACGAGTAAGAAATTTTGGTTGTAATTCTGGACTTGCACATTTATACCCTGTCCTGTTCATAACAGTTGTCCGATATCATTAGGGAATTTTTAAACTTCCTTTTTACGATCCGAGACTGTGGTTGCAAACTGTTGAATCTGCTATTAAATCGGAGTCCAGTGTCAGTTTTGGCTTGGCTGGCGGCGGCGGCGTCCGCGTGAGACGCGGGCGGGCCGTAAGTACGGCCGGGGA